AGGAACTGCAAACCTACAGTAGTAGGTTCTGCAAAATACGAAATTCGACACATTAGAGCAGAGAAGTATAGGCAAAGAATAGTTTTACACTGGAGGGAGGTAAATTTGGGTTTGATAACTAAAGATAACAAAGAAAAATAAGAAGAAAAATAGGTATTTCACCTACATTTGTCTGAGTTACTCCGGGCAGGAAATGCATGCACCTTTAATGATTAAAGGCTGTTAAACTGTCTGTGGAAAAATTCAATTATTTTCTTTAATCAAACTATCATACAAAAGTGTTTTGACTTACATATAATAATATTAATCAGACTCCTTTCCTAATAGAAAATAAAACAAACACTAACCCCCTTCGAGTTATTAAAGATCAATCAACCTAAACTATGACTGATTCCAGAGACTTCTCCAGATTAAAGAAAAATTTTAAATGCAAAAGAATACTAAAGTACCAAAATACATATAAAAGCTCATCGACAAAGAGTCTATTGAGGACAACCGCATCCAGAACCTAAGCCTCTAGGCTATGACCCCAAAAATATTGCTAATTCCATCCTTATGTTGGGTATGCACTAACAGATACATAGCTCTGGTTTTGGCCATAAAAATATTCCCATAGGAGCTTTATTTATCTACTTTTTTTTTGTTTTTTTGTTTTTTCAAAACTAATCCTTTATTTCTTTTCTCCAACCTTTCACGAAAATCCTACAAGAAAAAGGACATGATTTAAGAAGTTCTCTTTGTCAGTAACAGAATTTTAGCTTCATGGGAAGTATAGAAACACAAGATTTATGTGGTTGAGTGGACAGTCATATATCCATGGCCAGCGCAAAACGAGGTTTATCAAAGAGAAAGATTTTAGAGGACAAAGATAGAATGATGACTTAAAACAACAAAGCCTTATCCTATACTTATATGAGGCCAGCTACATAGATCTTCCACTGCCAAAGTGCCAATTTCCCTAACCACAGTCGAGCAAATCTTTTCGAATTACTTCATTCCATAAAAGAAGGAAACAACATATTCCTCTAACTTTACCATTGTTTACCAGTGCTAGAAATTACATGCCCAAAATCAAACCTGAATCTTTTGCCGAAAAGCAAACATTAACAAAATATGTTTTCGCTGCATTCGAACAAAATTTAAAGAGAGAATCTTAGGTGGATATTATGAAGTCCATGAAAAACACACTTGCACACATATTCCTGAGAAAACGAGAAAGATTTGAGCTAACTAGTCATTTCAAAGATCTTTCAGTCAACCTGAGCAAGTGGAGGGTTTGAAGTATGTGGATTTAGAAACTTGTTAACTGAAAGTCAGTTTCTATATCCTTTCCTTGAAATCTGTCAACGAATCTTCAAATAATATCATAACACCGAAAGGCACTTCTAGTCATCAAATTCCATCACATTATCGACCTCTAGAAAAGCATGTTAAGTTATTTGTTTCTCGGCTAGGCTGTAATGACCCAGCCTATGTGCTCGAGCCGTTATATCATAGT